AAGACCGTTATGAAAGTTATATTGGACATAATCTGTATACATGCATTTCAAATGGCTTTTCCATATGTGTTCTTTTGTGCTCCCATTGCATTGTTTGTTTTTCTTTTCTGCACGTGTTTGCTTCCTCTAGTGGTCGTTCACGGCCGCTTAAAAACTGCATGGAAATACAGTGATGTAATATCAAAGTGACCACGAGGGGGAGCCAAACATGTATGGAACAGGAAAAAAACAACCCAATGCAGTAGGTTGCCCACAAGCAACGAAACTAAGACGTGTGGAAAAGCCCAAAGACAGGTTTTGAACAACTTTTTTCAGTGAATGACTGTATCATGTACCTGTTACTACCAAAACAATTCCATGCTAATTGTGATTCAAGGTAAACTGTGAACGTTATAAATTATAGTATAAGTTGCCGGGAAAACTAGACCCTGAAGGTTGTTGCACCTTTTAAAAGGTCGCTTCCACAAAGAGGCTTTGGTCCCGTTTGGGATTCAAACCGGAGCGAGATTTTCTTGGAGCATCTGCACAGCGTCATCCCCTAACTGTCCTCTTTCAGCGGTTTCCTCTGCTTTGACACAACCTCTCTTAAAACTGGTTTGATATGATATTTTGGAAAGACTGCAGTCAAGAAGAAGAGAAGAGATTGGATTTATACCCCGCCCTTCACTTGGAGTCTCAGAGGGGCTTACAAACTCCTTTCCCTTCCCCTCCCCACAACAGACACCCTGTGAGGTGGGTGGGGCAGAGAGAACTCTGACACAAACTGCTCTTTTTCAAGGACAGCTGTGCCAGAGCTTGTGACTGACCCAAGGTCACATCAGCAGGTGCAAGTGGAGGAGTGGGGAATCAAACCCGGTTCTCCCAGATTAGAGTCCGCACACTTAACCACTACACCAAGCCTGTTTGCATGCCATGTGGTCGGAAGTCCCTGGCGTGCTGGCACCATTTCCCTTCCCCCGGCCATGTGTATTGCCAGCCTCCAGGTGGGGCTCGAAGAACTCCTCGAATTACAACTGATCTCCAGAATACACAGATCAGTTCCTTTGGAGAAAATGGCTGCTTTGCAGGATAGACTGAGGGCACCGTACCAGTTTGGTGTAGTGGTTAAGTGCGCGGACTCTAATCTGGGAGAACCGGGTTTGATTCCCCACTCCTCCACTTGCACCTGCTGATGTGACCTTGGGTCAGTCACAAGCTCTGGCACAGCTGTCCTTGAAAAAGAGCAGTTTGTGTCAGAGTTCTCTCAGCCCCACCCACCTCACAGGGTGTCTGTTGTGGGGAGGGGAAGGGAAAGGAGTTTGTAAGCCGCTCTGAGACTCCTTTGGGTAGTGAAGGACGGGGTATAAATCCAATCTCTTCTTCTTTTACCTCACAGGGTGTCTGTTGTGGGGATCCTCCTCCTCCTCCTCCTCCTCTTCTTCTTCTTCTTCTTCTTCTTCTTCTTCTTCTTCTTCTTCTTCTTCTTCTTCTTCTTCTTCTTCTTCTTCTTCTTCTTCTTCCTCCCTGCTGAAGTCCCTCCCCTCCCCAAACCCCATCACCCCCAGGGCTCACCCCAACCCCCCAGGAATTTTCCAACCTGAATCTGGCAATCCTAGCTATGCCCCCATTGCCACCGAGGGCTCTTCAGGGGTTTTAAAAACAAAATTGGCACTTGGCATCTCACAACAGAGCTATAACATCATAACAATCGGTCTGCTAGGTTCTCTGAATTCACAGCTCTCATTAAAAAAGAAAATCTATACACATAAAAATCTACAGAAAGTGGATCAGCTGTTTAAAGGAGATGTTGTATTGGCTGTTGACCTCTGCAGGATGTTTTGTAATAGTATTAATTCCTCTATCAGATACTGGTTTCCGAGAATCCTTCAGATCCCTTTGTTACACATACATTTCAAAGAATTAAAGAGATTTCTATCAGATAAGGAAGATTCTTATCATTTGGATAGACACGAATCGTACTCAGGAAATGCTTTTCTTTTCACAAGGCCTCCCGATGGAAGAGATTCTCTAAGTATAAATATAAGTTGTATGCTTTGGGCTAACCTTGCCTAGAATACAGGTTTGTGTTTTAAAAGGAAAGGGACAGAAAGTAGCAAATTGTTATGATTACGGGGAGGGGGGGGGAGATAATCTCCCTAGCAGCAAACAAATTTTAGGTGCTGCAAAGGAAATATTAAAAATATTTGGTAATGTAAGACTGCAAAGTCAAGGCTCTTATCAACAAATAATATTTGGATTTGCAAATACATACAAACGACTTGCAAAATTATTGGGTTGGATTACATAGATACTAGGAATAGCCAGGCAGAAAGATTACACAGGATTTTGTTCCATAGTATGAAAAACTGCATACGGTAAATAACCCAACATAGGAAGATATTTTAAAACTTTCTTAAAAAAAATAATATTCTGTTTTTGAAAAATGTTAAAGGAGTCATTTTCTGCCCGAATCTAGCTGTTCTACTGCAGAAAGACACGGCTATCCTCTGAGACTATTTCATACCCAGGCAATGAAAAAAGAGACATTTATAGAAGAACCACATCACATTTAGTTCCATGATCTTTTTAACAGACTTCCCCCCCTTTCTTTCACAGAGTTCAGCTGTTGGGGCTATGATTTTAAAGGAAAGACTAGAGATGGGAATCAGGTTTCGTTTAACACAATCCCTTGTCCCCATTTGCCCACTGAAACTCACTCCCTTCAAGCTGTTTTAGACTCCGCTGGGGAAAATTGTTCGGGAGGTGTTTTTGAAGCAGAGTACAGCTGTGTTATAAGGGGTCGGCTCAGGAGTTGACTTCTGTTAGGAATACTCTGTTTTTCTCCTGCAGTTCTTCAGGCTCATTCCCACTACGTCATGCTGTTTTACTAGGAATCGTTGCTTTTAGACGCAAATAAATGTGATTGTCATATGTTGCAATCCGCTTGCTACTGGACCGAATAGCTTGGTTTAGTAGCAACCTCTGGCTGTTAGATTCAAATATCGTTCAAAGGTTATCATATTAGCTTATTGTCTGAATAGTTCCATTGTACTGGTAATCTGCCTTGAGTCCCCATGACAAAGGCAAATTATAAATGGAAATAAATCAATAAAATAATATCACTCCTGACCAGTTCCTAGGGTTGCCAGCTTCCAGAAGGGGCCTGAAGATTGCCTGGAATCAGGGCTTTTTTTGTAGAAAAAGCCCAGCAGGAACTCATTAGCATAATAGGCCACACCCAACAGCTAAAACTCATTAGCATATTAAGCCTTCCCTTGGCTTGCCCCGGTGCCCCACAGCTGCGGGGACCCCGGGCAAGCCAGCCCTCGGACAGGTCGGGGAAGACACAGGGAGGCCTCCCCTCCGTGCCACCGGCCTGCCTCGAAGTTGCCGGGGGGGGGGTCACTCTCCAGGCCTTCCCTCTGTAGCCATGCACACAGAGGTTTTGGCTGTAGTGGGTGTGGCCAACTCTGAAGCCAGCCGGAACTCTGTTCCTGTGCGTTCCTGCCCAAAAATAGCCCTGCCTGGAATTATCACTCATCTCCAGGTGACAGAAATCAGTTCCCCAGGAGAAAATGGTGGTTTTGGAGGATGAACTCTATGCCGTTACGCTAGGATTGCCAGGTCCTTACTGTCTGCTGGCGGGGGGCTCCAGGCTGCTTCCCTGGACCTTCTGGACATCACCCGGAAGTGATGTCATCATGCTGGGCAAGTCGTGCAAGGGATCATAGAGTTTTTAGCCAAATGCTAGAGCGACCCCTGCATGATGTGCCCGGCGCGATGACGTCACCTCTGGGCACATGGGGTGCAGCAGGGCTCTTTGGTGGTTAATTAGAGCTGCTCTGAGCCACCATGGTCGGTGGGACAGGTGGAGCATAAACATCTAATTTAACAATATCTTAGCCGTCATCTTTGCATAAAGCATCTGAGTCTAGCTGATTTCAACGGCACATGTCATCCCTTTAGGGATGCCAGGCACTCTGTAGTATTAACAGCTCCAGGTTGAGAAATCCCTGGAGATTTGGGATCTGAGCGTGGAGAGGGCACAAATTGGGGAAGAGGAGGGACCTCTGTGGGGTGTAATGTCATAGAGTCCCCCCCCCCTTCAAAGCAGCCATTTTCTCCAGGGAAGCTGATCTCTGTCAGCTGGAGATCAGTTGTAATTCTGGGAGCTCTCCAAGCACCACCTGGAAAACCCTGGCCTCCCGAGACCTCCTGTCATCTGGCTAATTTTCCCTCTGATACCTCAGGCACCTGTGGGAAGAAATGGGGGGGGGGTGAAGCACACGCCAACATCATGACTAACTTTTGATGGCTTGCTTCAGGTGGATAGCTGTGTTAGCCTGTAGTAGTAGAACGGAAATTCAAGTTGATGAGCACCTTAGAGACCAACATTTTTAAAATAGATTGCTCTTCATGTGTTCCCTTCAGTAATTTCAGAGCTACTCAGTACCTTCCAATTGTTAAGAAGAAGAAGAAGAAGAAGAAGAAGAAGAAGAAGAAGAAGAAGAAGAGTTGGATTTATACCCAGCCCTTCATTCAGAGCATCTTACAATCTCCTTCCCTTCCTCTCCCCACAACAGACACCCTGCAAGGTAAGTGGGGCTGAGAGAGCACTGAGAGAACTGGGACTGGCCCAAGGTCACCCAGCTGACTTCATGGGGAGGAGTGGGGAATAAAAAAAAACCCAATGAAACGTAATCGAGAGTTGCCTGACTTGTGTGGCAAGTTTATACATTTAGTTCTGAGTCCTTTGCTTGCAAAATCTGCATGTCAAGATGAATATATATCAACAATCAAAAGCAGCATTGTTTCTGTGTATAGCATCCCATTTTCTTAAATGGAAATCAACAATTTTTACAGGGATTTAAGCCGCACTCCTGGTCAGCTCGAAGCAACTTTCAAATTGTGGTTTCTCTTTCCAGGAAATCTCTAACTCAAAAATTCAGTACTTTTAACTATTTGCAGCAAATTATATCATAATGCTAAACAGGTAAAGGACATGAACACAAGCTACTTACCAAGAGCTTAGAACGCGATGGCACTTCCCCCTTTGTTGAAGAACAGTGTAACTGTCAATGTATTTCGGTCTAGCAACCAACCTGTATAGGTTCCCAAGACTGTGATTTGACTATTCAAGGAAGTTGACTCAAAGTCAAAAATCACTGAAGCAGATAATCTCTCTCTGCTCACAGATCAGTTTCGTAGTACATAGAAAGGCAAAGAGTTTTATGTTGGTCAGGTGAGGCATTCACATCGAACAAAGGGAGTAGTGCTTCTTCGTGGGTTTTGTACGTTCAGGAAAAGGAGGGGCATATACAGAAACGAAACCGATGAGGGCAAAGTTTGAGTCCAGGGGCACCTTTAAGACCAACAAAGGTTTATTCAAAGTGTAAGCTTTCGTATGCAAAGCACACTTCTTCAGACAAATTGGAATAAAACCTCCTCAAGGGTTACTGACAGGGAAAAAGGGGGTGGGGGACAGCCCTTACAAAGGGCCACTCGGAGCCCAGATCCATATGCAGAGCTGAAATTGGATCAGGTGGCTGATAAGATCAACGGATGGCAGCAAATCAGCTCGGAAATGCAGAAGTTAACAAAGAGATGTGAGAATGAAGCTAGAATCCAGCAGTACCCCCAAGACAAACCAAGCTCAACCCTGTGTACATGCGAGAACCGAGACTCAGTATGTGCACACTTCTTCATATACTTTGAAACAGATTTCCTCAAATATTACATGTGCGGGGGGGGGGGTTAGTTGCCAGGAAGAGCAGTTTAGAATTTGTTTTTAAGTTGTGTTGTCACCTTAATCATAATTTCTTCTGGGTAAAGAATGTCATTTTCTAAAAATTCATTTGTAATATTCACATCCTGCCTTCTTCCCATGCAGTCTATCAACATAAAAAAACCTAAGATCATGGCATCCAGCCCCATCATTCCTTGGCAAATAGAAGGGGAAGTCGTGGAAGTAGTGACAGACTTCACGTTCCTGGGATCCCAGATCACCGCAGACTGTGACAGCAGCCATGAAATTAAAAGACGCCTGCTCCTTGGGAGGAAAGCGATGGCGAACCTAAACAGCATGATAAAAAGTAGAGACATCACCCTGCCAACAAAAGTCCGCATGGTCAAAGCAATGGTATTCCCAGTAGTCATGTATGGCTGCGAGAGTTGGACTATAAGGAAGGCCGAGCGCCGAAGAATAGATTCTTTTGAACTATGGTGCTGGAGGAGACTCTTGAGAGTCCCTTGGACTGCAAGAAGATCAAATCAGTCAATCCTAAAAGAAATCAACCCTGACTGTTCCCTGGAAGGCCAGATACTGAAACTGAAGCTCAAATACTTTGGCCACCAAATGAGAAGGGATCACTCACTGGAGAAGACCCTGATGCTGGGAAAGATTGAAGGTCAAAGAAGACGGGGACGGCAAAGGATGAGATGGTTAGACAGTGTCATAGATGCAACGAACATGAAATTGAGCAAACGTCAGAGGATGGCGGAAGACAGGAAGGCCTGGCGTGATCTGGTCCATGGGGGCGCAAAGAGTCGGACTCGACTGCGACTGAATAACAACAAGAAGAAGCTTTTTAAAAATAATTTCAAGATACAACACATTAAAGTGACCAAATACTAAATCAAATAGTTGTGAAATAGTTCACAGAGGTAAAACAGCAGCAACACAACTCAAGATACCCTTAAAAACAAAGTTCGGCTTTAGCTTGATGCCAGGGTACCAGGACTCAGTCTGGGGATCCAAGAGGCCAGAAGCCAGAGGTGGGGTCAGAAGAAGTCCATGATAAGTGTTATGTATTGTGTTATATGGGTAGCCTGAATTGTAGAATGAGCCTGAGCTTCAGTCACAAGCTCCATAGACTCTCAGTATCCTAAAACCAACAGCCTGATTGGCTGCTGTTGTGCAATGGACCAATCAGGGAAGACTATGACTTTTGGCGGGAACAAACCCTATTACTTCTAAGCACTCACTTCTGATTACACCTTATTGTTCTAGGGCAGTGGTGGCGAACCTATGGCACGGGTGCCAGAGGTGGCACTCAGAGCCCTCTTTGTGGGCATGCGTGCCATCGCCCCAGCCAGGCCCAGACCATCGTTAAAGTGTCAAATTCTCTGCCAAATAATTTTAAGTAAATGAAAGCATTTGGGATTGCTTTCCTTACTTTGTTTGGATCATCTTAAGTTAATGTATGAGTTGTTTTTTCTAAAGTAAAAGTAAAGTATTCAGGTTAAATTGCCATGTTGGAACTTTGCGATAAATAAGTGGGTTTTGGGTCGCAGTTTGGGCACTCGGTCTCTAAAAGGTTCACCATCACTGTTCTAGGGGGTATGGTTAGCCAGTTCCAAACTATATATAAGTTGTGGTTGTTCTGTGTGCTCTGTGTTATTGTGTGTTCTGATAAACTGAAATCACTGGTTAAAGAAAGAGCTGCCTGATCTTGAGTTACAACAATAAGATTTTCCGAGGATTCATATGAGGGTCTGAAGGCCAGAGGAAGGGAGTGAGATTAAAAAGCAGGCATGGTCCAAAAAAGGGGAGGGTGCGCATGTATACATATGAAGCTGCCTTATATTTAACTAGACCACTGGTCCAGCCAGGTCACTCCGGGCTCTCAGGCGGATGTTTATCACATTACTTGTTATCTGATCCTTTTTAACTGGAGATGCTGGGGACTGAAACTGGAGCCTTCAGTGTACAAAATGGAGGCTTTTCTACTGAGCCACAGCCTCTCCCAGAGGTCAAATGTAAACGTCTGAACTTGGTCTGTTCACAGCTGATGTTTCCCAGTCTGAACACATGAACCTAAGAGGCATCCAGTTGGATCAGTAGGGTGTTCCATCTAGTTCAGCATCCTGTTTCACACAATGGCCAACTAGTTGCCACAGAGGGTCAACAAACTGAGCATAAAGGCCGTGGCCTTCCACTGCTGTTGCTTCTCAGGTCTGGCATTCAGAGGTCTACGGCCTCCGAAGATGGAGATTCCCTTTCATCACCGTAGCTAGTAGTCATGGATAGAGCCATTCTCCATGAATCTCCTTAATCCTGTTTTAAAGCCATCTGTGCTTGCGGCCGTCATTATATCCACTGGCAGCAAATTCCCCAATTCAATTGCTCATTGAGTGAAGATATATGTCCTGAATCTGTTGCTCATTGGACAGATCTCAAAAAGAAGAGGAAGAGGAAGAAGAAGAGGAGGAGGAGGAGATTGGATTTATACCCTGCCCTTCACTACCCAAAGGTGTCTCAGAGTGGCTTACAAGCTCCTTTCCCTTCCCCTCCCCACAACAGACACCCTGTGAGGTAAAAGAAGAAGAAGAGATTGGATTTATACCCCGCCCTTCACTACCCAAAGGTGTCTCAGAGCGGCTTACAAGCTCCTTTCCCTTCCCCTCCCCACAACAGACACCCTGTGAGGTAGGTGAGGCTGAGAGAGCTCTTGACAGAAACTGCTCTTTTTCAAGAACAGCTCTTATCAGAACTACAGCTTGCCCAAGGTCATCCAGCCAGGTGCAAGTGGAGGAGTGGGGAATCAAGCCCGGCTCTCCCAGATTACAGTCCGCGCACTTAACCACGACACCAAACTGGATCTCTAGAAGTATGACCGAGGAAGGGAAAAGTATCACCCACTTTCTCCAACCCGTGCATAATTGTATAACTACCTCCATCTTGCCTCCCCTGTGTGTGTAAAGTGCCATCAAGGCATAGCTGTCTCACGGCTACCTAGGGTTGCCAGTTGCAGGTGGGGAAATACCTGGAGATTTGGGGAGAGGAGCCTGAGGAGGGCGGGGTTTAGGGAGGGGAGGGACTTCAATGGGGAACAATGCCATAGAGTCCACCTTCCAAAGCAGCCATTTTCTCCAGGTAAACAGATCTCTGTTGCCTGGAGATCAGTTGTAATCCCAGCCACCACCTGGAGGTTGGCAACGCTATAGAAACTCCTTGGGTCCCCCCCCCCCAGGCAAATGATTAAGCAGAGGTGGTTTGCCATTCCCTTCCTCTGCAAAGTCTTCCTTGGTGGTCTCCAGTCCAAGTGCTTAGCTTCGGAGATCTGATGAGATAAGGTGTACCATACCGTTCCACATCCCTCATGCCTCCCTTAGCCATCGTTGCTTTAAGCTGAAAAGCCCCAGAGTCTTTAGCCTTTCTTCGTAGGAAAGGTGCTCCACCCAAGGATGCCACAAACTCCTCAGTGCACAGCTGTGATCGGTTGTGAGTTGCCCTTGCCTCCGCCGACATCTGGCTTGAATGGCTGTTAAGAGCTCTTGTGGCTGGAGTGGTGGAGCTGCGGTGGTGGGGTTTCGTTTCCTTTTTGCCCTGCAGGCTCCTAAACATCTGTGCAGTAGGTAAAACCGATTTTCCTACTAGGTCGTGGATGGCTGAGTCAGGTGATGAAATGAGGTTGGAAGGGGGAAGCATGTGAAATAATGCTGATAACGTGGATTTAAACCAATATCGAATGCTAAGGCCTTTTTAGAAACACAGCGTTTAGAAACACTGGCTCACTTGCTCACTCTTTATTTATATGACTTACTGCTGAGCAGCGTGCAGCAACAATAGGTATGTGAGGGAGGGGGAAACTAGGATTCCCATCAGTCTGTGTATCAAATGTATAAAATACTGCTGATTGCAGTGTACAGTACTGTGCCATGTGAATAGGCAAAAACTTACCCAGTGAACCAGCTGAAACTGCTTATAACAGCTGAACTGACTGATGAAAAAACGGGTCCCTGCAAGCAACTGGTGAACAGAATGTAAGCTGAACTGAAGGGTGTTCAAGTTTCTTTAGTATTGTGACAGAACAGTCCTGCTCTGGCCTACAGTCCTTGTTCCACCCTGCCCTTCTGAGTTTTCCCAACATCTGGAGAGGCAGCTTCTCTCTCTTTCTCTCTCTCTGTTCAGCCGCTGCCACCATCTGGCCTTTGTAGGAATTGCCCACTGGGAGGGTCAGGAGGACTCCCACCTTCCCTTCCACATTCTGAGGCCTTGCCTTTGTGTCTCCTGCTGCTCAGCACCTGGTCACCATGGGGACAGTTCACTGCCTTGTGTGCCTCTAGGGGAGTAGCCACTTGCCAGCTGACTGCCCTCCCCTTCCTCCTGGTACTCTTTTAAAAATAGTGTGCCCAAGATGGTGGAGGTCTGTGTGGCACAGAGAACCCCTACCAGGACCAAAAGTTACAATGTACTTATTTAAAAGAAAAATGTTCACAAGCA